AGCCAGAGACGCGACGAAGATTTCAAACGGAACTTAATATTCAGTTCAGAGTTGCTTTGAAATAATTACCTTTGTCGAACGCGACTTTATTAACTTTTTGTACCTGAGAAGCGTCGCCCAGTCGCCGCTCGGCTTGATACAGCAAAATCATAAAGTTTGATAGCACAAAGCAGAGGAGTTTAACATGCTCGCGAGCAGCGTTTCTGTCACCAGCAGAGAAAATGAGAATGAAATTCAAGGAAATAATCTCGTCAACTTTTTACGCGTTACACCGTGAGATAGGAACAATTTCGAGATAAAAACACGCGCGAAAGTAATCCATTTTCTCTCACGCGTAATACGAAATGTTGAGCGCCGCAAGTATGTGACGCTGGTCGCAAATGTGTTTAACACGTTGACTGCCACGAGAGACATCAGTGTTTTATGTTTCACTGATCCTTTCTACAGTAAAGACACAAAGCAAGAATTATTAATTCTTTGATATGAAAATTCTTATATTACCCTATTATCTAGTAATTTACGTTATGGAAAATTAGAATTCGAGATCAATTATGTTCCAAGTCATAATTATTTTCTTGTCATTCGAAAGCTCCGGTCATCGGTGACCGCCGTGGCAGTCAAAGTGTTAAGTTGAGGATCGCGAGACACCGGCCGAAGGCGATTGATCGTTTTGGTCCGGTTCACGGGTTTCATTCATTTTCCTTCCCCTCGGTGTTTGTTCGCGCTCCGGCAGCGCGTTTTCAGCCGACAGAAGAACGAGGCCTCTCGTCTATTTCCGCGCGACCTATAAATATCCCCACGAGTTTACGTAACACCGTTACCATTCATCTTTTTGGAATTAAACGTGAAATAACTGCTGCCCACGGGAAATCGATCCCTGTCGCGGCGATCACCGAGATTTTCGCCGCCCGACCGGCGTAATCGCGGCCACCGCAGCTCCGAGATTCGACCGCCGGACACCACGTGTTCGACGGCGATAGTTGCAGCGCGTGATTGTTCGAAGTAATTGGAACGGATCGACGACAGGTCTGGACGCCACGAGGCCGACCGATTATCGCGCATGGAACAGATACACTTTTCATGGGAAATTATCATTGGGGATTTCGGTTTAAATTATCGGAGGGCTTCTGTCAGGGGAATTTTTGAAATATGTGGGAGGAGCCCAGATGAACAAGTGGGAGGGGCTGAGGAAGTGAATGGGCGAGGCCAAAGAAAACTAGAGGCAGGAATTAGAGGAAACTGATGAGAGGTGTTAAAGGAAGCTAGTGAAGTGACCTAAGAGAATTTAATGGGTGGAGCCAAGGAAAGTTGATGGGAGGGGTTAAGGGAGACTAGTGAGATGTGACTAAGCAAGACTAATGGAAGGAGTCAACGATAACTAGTGACGGAAGTTGAGGAAAACTAGTGGAAGAAGTTGATGGAAAGAAATGGGACAGTTTCGCGAAGCCTGGTGGGAGAGATCAAGTGGTATTGAGAAAATAAACCAATGAACACTGGTGGGTGGAGCTAAGGTGTCAGGATGGGAGGGGACAGAGAAAGTTGATAGAGAAATTAGAGTAAACTGGAGGAAAGGAGCAGACTTAATGAATAGAGCTGAGGATGCTGGGATAACAACGCGAGAGAGTAACTGAAACCAGGCAATGAAAATTGATAAGTGCCAATTAAAATTATCTCGGCTCTTGTCTGTCTCCGCCCCTTTCTCCACGGTATATGTAGTATTATAATGATTTATCTCGTACCACAATTTCGTATAAAAAAAGTGAGTAACCTTCATACAAAAATATAAATCGACAGTGAAAAATAAACCGTCTCTCTGTTTGTGACTTTGTTTTCAAATGGACTGGCGTCGAGTATGTTTATACAGGACTTCATCAACGAGTCATGCTTTTTTGCTAGCTGAGTTGCATGAATGCCCACCTATCGAATGTAACTTTAAAAATTAGTTCTCTCGCGTGTACTGCGACGCGTGAGTACACATCGACAGACAATGCGGGTGCATTCGTATGGTTTGCAGGCATTTCTTTATTATTTACTCTACGTTTCGGATGCACTTTAATCTCTCTGTTGTCGAGAACAGACAGCCATTTATTTTCCTGGAAAATTGTTGCTCCCTTTGAACACGCGCCACGAATCGGACGTAGCATTCACGATCAAATTCAAATGAACTCTTTTTCTATCCCAGAATCTGAGTCCCAATAAAACGTACTTTTAATGGATATTTCTCGAATTCTGACCAGTAATACCAGCAAATTAATGGGACATTCGATTAATGAATAGGCTTTGCTAACCGAAGTTTGTCACGACTCAGCATAACAATTGTCGCATCAACCACTCAATAGACACGCGCGTAATCAGCGTTCCGTACAGTTAGCTGGGTTTTCAACGCAATTAATGTTCATGCGATAGTGTCATCTCGAGGCGCAATGTTGTTATTACTGGTCATTGACACGTTATTTCGTAGTTTTCTTTCATATTGCTGGATTTTTCAAAGCTTCGTTAGTGAAGTTCGACAAATCGATTATTATCAGCGAAGATAACCAATCTCCATGACGCATCGTGTTATCGTTCGAAACCCAACGCACGATATATCTCAGACAAAAGGACCCTGCTCGTGATGTCATTTACCTCGCGAAGTTCGAAATAGGTCAAAATGACCCGTCCGGTAAACCAAGTGTTAATAATTGCAAACGGGAGAAATCAGGCATGGGTTATTTTGATTCGTCTAGTAGTTTTAGTGTTAAAAGGATAGCGGACAAGGACGGATGGGTCGGGTTCAAATAAAATCTTGCGTTTTGCGTAACAGCGTATTCGCCTGTCCAATTGAGCGCCGGACGCGTTTCGCGCGCAATTTCCGTGATATTAATTGTCAAGGCCAGGGCAGACGTTGATCGTGAAACCGGCGCACAGTGCAGCCGTCTGTGGACAAAGCCCCGAAATTCGATTATTCGCATAATAATAATTGAAGGCGTCGTCTTTAACAAGGCCTCGCTAAGTAGTCCCTGCTGTACAAACTGATTTTCATTTGAGAATCAACAATTTCGTGCAAATAAATTCCGTTTCTTATTTATATAACGTCGGAATCGAAACGTAAAACATCCATTGTCATTGAACAAACTTCGTAACTTCCCTATAATGTGAATAAACTGTAACCACCATATGTCCAGCTCTACACCTTAGAACTTTTGTCCGGCGCGTCTGTTTGTATTACTCATGTCTTCCCAGTTATTCAGTTTCGTCCCGGAAATGGGCGTCCGCCACACTGCACAGAAGATCCGTGTCGATCTTAATCCGCGGGGACCGCAAAATGGAACGTGACACGATTCGCAGGAGTGCGAGATCTCGGTTTTTATCGGGTCGACGAGCGAGCGTGCGGCATTTCCGAATGAAAGAACGCACTGATCAGCGGTGAAAGGAATACGACAGGAATCAGACAGCTTCTCAGAGCTTTGTAATTCAATCGGGATCCCGTCCGCTTTGAATTACGCGCGCATTCAGAAACCGGGATAGAGCCCATGCAGTTTTCCACGCGGATGTCCTGTGAAACGTAATCGCCGTGCGGAGAGCTCAAGAACGGCGAAAGAAATTTAATCCTTTCCATTCGACAGGTGACTCTCAGTCATCACTTGATTTGATACAACGATATGAAGTATCGCTAGGTGCAATATTGAAACAGAGTAGTCTCTTGATTCATGCATGAATTATTGTTATAACTTTTTATTCATTTATATGCGAATGATCGGACAGTTAGTTTTAAAAAACGTCACCTGTATGTGCAATTAGAATCTTCTGGGAATAAAAGGTTATTATTAGGTTCGTAGAACGCATCGATCTTATGTATACCGAATCCCGTAAATACTGTTTGGTGAATGTTTACGTTGACTTTGATCGATGTAATTATAATGGCGTGTACTTGAATTATTCAGTGTGTTGCTCACAAAGTTGACCGACAGCTTAATTAACATAATCGTAGTGTTGACATCAGAAATGCCAATCAATGTGGCTGGTCGTCAGTTTTCTGTTGAAATTGCTCATAGTGTATCACTGTCGAATACCGAAAATTATTTTAAAATGAACTCTTGAGATTCTTACTGGAATTATGTATTAATTACATTGAATATTCGATTGTTAGTTTTGACAGTTTTGACATAATATGATGGTTATAGTTTTGCATACCAGAGTTATACATTTGTGACGACTAAAATAGATGATATACATTACACTTTATACAAAGAAAACCAGATGAACGTTACGGTTGCTGGTTTTTTACAGTTGTAAGACACTGGCTCGTTTGACGTAACTTGAAAATAGATTAATATCGTGCCATAATAAACGATTACGCAATGTAGCTCGCTCACAAATGTTATAACGATAATTAAGCTATCTGTACGTTGCGTACTTGTTATCGAGACTTGTAATTGATCCATAGATAACGATAATGCCAATCATAACGGCACGTGCATTGCCACTCTTTCGAGATGTTTTGTTCCTCTTTTGGAAGAAGTATGTAAAAATATTATCTTCAGCCGCGATGGAACAAAACTGTTTGTCATGTTGTTGAACCTTATCTCTTTATAATTTTCTAAAAGAAAGCCGCAGACCTGTTTATGTATGCCGTTTATCGAGAAAAAAATAGCGGTATCTTATCAACAATCACTTTCCTTGTTATTTTCAACTTCACTAGATTGTTTCTAATCTTTGAATTACAATCGACATTGCATAATCGCGACCGTACCAGCTCAATTGACTCGATCAAGGAAATTTTTCTAGGAGAACTACGCAGCTGGTTAAAGCGTTCCCATACAGTTTCGAACAACAAACATTTCCATCGAAAATTTTGATAAGTCCTTCTCGTATCACGATGAGTCCCCTTTACAACAGTCCACTTCGAATATCATTCAATTCTAAGGAATAAGAAGGATACTGTTAACTCCGTAGTTACTCCGTTATTTTAATTTAATCTCGTTAGAGGCAATATGCAGAGACCCAAGATACTCGAATTATCTTGTACAACTTATCTAGTGACGTCGTAGGCCGTATGGTGGGATGCGATACTTGTTATGCGAGCGATTCACTCGGCGATCTCAGTAGCGTTTCTGTCGTTACCAGTGGAAGGATCGGTAGCGATCGGCTCCACCGATCCAACATTGTTCCTTCGTTGTGCCACGGTATTTCTTTATTCAGTATCGTTACTCGGTAGAGTTTCAATAGCAAACTGTTGCCGCCAATATCGTTATTCGATTCCTAACAGCTAAAACCGCGGACCATGTCTCCGGTGACGTTAGCTCTGATCCTCGTGCTGCTCGGCCTGTTGGCCTACCGTTACCTATGGAAGACCACGAACTTCTTCAAGGAACGGGGGATCGAACATCCGCCGACGGTGCCGATTTTCGGTAACATAGCGCCGGTCTTGTTCCGCCGCGTCTACATGGGCTACTACCTGCGGGACTTGTACAATCGTTACAGCCACCTCAAGTATTTCGGTTTCTTCAACTTCATGTCGCCGTTGATCGTGATCCGGGACCCGGAGCTGATCTCGTCGATCGCGATGAAGAACTTCGACCACTTCACCGACCATTTGGGTTTCGTGGACAGCGACATAGACCCGCTGTTCGGCAAGAACCTGTTCTCGCTGCGCGGCGACCATTGGCGCGAGATGAGGAAGCTGCTCAGCCCGTCGTTCACCTCCGCGAAGATGAAGAACATGTTCAAGCTGATCGTCGACTGCGCCGACAGCTTCTCGGGTTTCATAGCGGAGGAAGCGAAGAACGGCCGGATCTACGATCTGAAGGATTTGTTCAGGCGGTACACGAACGACGTGGTGGCGACGACCAACTTCGGGATCGCCGTTGACTCGATGAGGAACCCGGACAACGAGTTCTACACGTTCGGCAGGGAGACGATCAACTTCGCGTCGACTAAAATGAACTTGAAGTTCCTTATAGGCAGGAACTTCCCGACGCTGTCGAAGTTGTTCAGGATCAGGATATTCGACGAGAAGGCGACGCAATTCTTCAAGAAAGTGGTCACCGAGACCGTTCGCATGCGGAAGGAGAAGGTGAGTCGGAGGCTGCTTTCGCGTTGAGCCGACTTCTGTGTCACGACGAATGATCGCGTGATTCGAATTGCGCCGATGATCGATCGGGCGATTTAAATTGTTGATTCTAGTAATCGGAGTTGCTGCGCTTATCGCGGATGAAACTATCGCGATAGTTGATGGACCGGTTTAAGCTGTCTCGTTACTTTATTTTAAGATTCGATTTGTTACGTTTATCAACTTTGTACTTCAAATTATCGCGCTTGTTCGATCGATTGATATTACCGTGTTGTTCGAGCAAAATTTTGATCCAACTTTTGAGTTACTCCGTGAATCGATGCTAAGACTCGAATCGTGCGCTATTCGATCATGCTATTCAAGTCGTCGCGCTGCTAATAAGCTGCGCCGCTAAGAGGCAACAACGCGGAAGCGACGTTCACGAAGTGTCCTCGCATTTTTAAAGAAAGTACAAGAGCGAATCTCCCACCGCTGAAACCTCATTAAACTATAAATTGACAATTTCCTCCGTGAATCTCCTTATCATCCTCTTCATTAAATCAAAAGCGGGGGAGCATTCTGACTAGCCTATGCGGTATCCTCCGCGAAAGTTAATTTCACCATTCACGAAACAATCAACGTTCCCAGTAAATCCTCTCGACGGTAACGTTCCCCGAACCTTCCTAACAATATGTCGAATCGTCCTATTAGAACTCGGCGAGCATTCAAGCTACCGCCATTTCACTGAAACAATCTCAGTTCCCCGTCCCATCGATTAAACGCGTGCAAACCCTACCCGACGTTCCCAAGTGTCCCCGTTCCCATGAATCGGGCACTCCGAAATCCTATTCGACGATTATTCGTTGTTCATCGAGTACCCATGACATCCCGATTAACCGACAAATCAACGCGAAGAACCGTTCATCAGCCGTCTGTCCCTGGCAACAGGGTATCGTTCGGCCGGACATGATCCAGCTGATGATGGAGTCGACGGACACCCAAGGGAATCATTTGTCGATCGACGACATGACCATCCAGGCGTTCGTCTTCTTCTTGGCCGGGTTCGACACATCCGCGTCGCTGATGTGTCTAGCGACCCACATGATCGCCACGCACGAGGAGGTCCGCGAGAAGGTTCTAGCTGAAATCGAGGAGGTGCACAACAAATTAGAGGGTCGTCAGCCCACGTACGAGGCGATCAGGGACATGCAGTACTTGGACGCGGTCCTGGACGAGACTGGCAGGATGTACCCGGTGGTGCAGTTCTTGGATCGCGTGTGCGTGAAGGATTTCGAGCTACCGCCGGCGGCGCCGGGCGCTAAGCCGGTCAAGATGAAGCCCGGGGACCAGGTGTGGTTCCTGCCTCCGGGGCTCCATTACGACCCCAAATATTTCAGTGACCCGGACACCTTCAAGCCGGAGAGATTCCTCAACGAGCACATCCCGCAGACCGTGTACATACCGTTCGGCGTGGGCCCGAGGATCTGTATCGGCAACAGGTTCGCGCTGATGGAGACCAAAGTGATGTTATACTACCTGTTGAAGCGCTGCGTGATCGAGCCCTGCGCCAAGACCACGGTACCCCTGGAGTTCAACAAGGCGCTGATACAACCGGTACCCAAGACCGGTTTCTGGTTAAAGTTCAAAACGAGGAACGACTATTCGACCGCCAATGGACACGTCCCGAATGGGACCGCTTGAACCCTGCGTAATTTCATTCGAATCGGAGTTTCCCTCCCGCGTCCTAGTAATGTTCTTTTTAAAGTTTTAGTAGACATTTCTCATTTTCTCTCGCCCCTGCGAGTAATTGGAAATATAAATTCCTAGGTTACTTGTGCGCAGAATTCTTTTAAACGTTCTCGCGTAATGAAATGCATACTTTCTGAAATATTCGACTGAAATAGTTGAATACTTGTGTTATTAACCAACAGCTGGAATATGAAGTTTGACAGACGTCATGGACAGTCTGCAAGAAGAACTCGGCGGATGACTTGGAACACTTATTACTGTACCGTGGAAGTTGAACGCAGTTTCGTGTAGTTCTAGGATCTAGCTCAGTGTTAATAAGAAAAAATTATTTAATTTCACCTTCCACGGACGTCTGTTTTCCTTTCACGAGAATGCGTACGTGCGTATGTATGTGCGTAACACACGGTCACGTATGTGTTACAAAGCGGCGAGAACATAAAGGAACAATATCAAAATATATAAAAATTACTAAAACTCTGAATATGACTGAATATTTAATTTAAAAAAACAGTACAGTTCATAAGTAAAATGTAATATAAAATATTATAGTGTAGGAGAAAGAGAATTTTATTTGAAGGAGTATAATTATTTCATGACAACTTAATTAAAAAAATCCATCCGAACATTCTTTCATTACCATAACTTCACGAATATTTGCAATATTTTAGATTCATAAAAAAACGAACATTATTAACATAAAACACAATATAGAGAAAATGAATTTAGACTAGAATATTCCAATGCTTTGAACATTCATTCAAAACGCGCTCTCTCACACACACACAAATACACACAGAGTCGCGTCGTTCATCTACTGCACACACATTCATCACTCATCAGTATATCTATTCTCACACTCAAATACATCCATTCCCACAAATATATAAAAATTACTAAAACTTTGAATGTGACTGAATATTTTATTTAAGAAATCAGTACAATTCATAAGTAAAATATAATACAAAATATAAAATGTACTTCAATTCATTGTTAACAAGAAAGCCGCGGGAACTTGGTACGGTACGTAATAATATGCAATCCAGGCGAAAGAAACCTGATAATTTAGAAGACCTTGTGCAAGACTCAACTGCGTATTTCAGAAATATTCAAGGAATATTCACCGTTAAACGCTCGTTTTTTCTTGAAAAGGCGCCGGTACGGTGTACACGATGCCGGGATCTCCGCGTCTATGCAAATTTACACGAAACTCTGCAGTACTGCAGTTATTATGTTTCCCAACTGTTCTTTCTGCCCTCCATTTTTAAATATCACCGGCTACAAAGAAAGCAGTGGAAATGTTTCCCGCCTCCGTTCAAATAATCAGAATCCACTTCAAATTCAATTATGCGGAAAGTGGATTCAGTTATGAACATAGCTCGTTCATTGAATTGCATTGACTTTAAGTTTCATAGACAGTAGTTTAGCGGGGACTAGTAAATTAATTTCGTTGGTTCAGTAACGAATGTCACAAAGATCAATATTTTCGATTATGTATAGCATAATGTGCTAAGTGTTCGTATAATTGGAACGATGGTTGGGACCGGCTCAGGTAAATATTAATATTATATCTAACATTTAACGTTCATATAGTTCATATAATAATATTATAATATAATAATACTATTAAAACAAAAAAGAAAATTCCAGTATTTATACAATTTATACAATAATATCAATACTATAATACCGAAGTATTATATCTAACATTTAAACTTCAT